AAAAAACCTCAAAAATGTATACATGTGTCTATTCAGTCCAAAATGATGTGTTTATTCACTACTTCAATAAATTAAGAACTTATTACATTCATGCTTATAGTTGTGTTCATTACCATAACTATAAATAAGTATGAGGTAATCTTTTGTGTATTGTGATACTGGTTAAGACAGATCTATAAGCCTACATATCTGATCATCTTTCTCATAGGACCAAGTAACTAAATAAACTAAAAATACAGGAGTTTATTAAAAAGAAGGGCAATCAGAAAGTCTAGGAGATCATGGGCTGTTAAAGTATGTACCATGCTATCTTTCAATCTATATTTCTTCTCTGAAAACATGGATAACAGAATCCTCATTTTTTTTCAATACACAATGAATATATGAAATGGTCCCTTTCCTTAACCTTGTTTAGACAATTTTTTTTTCAAAACACACTTGTTATAACAATTCTATTTCTATTTATATCTAGTTTAGTTTAAAAGTAATTTTACTATAATTGCTAGACTCTCCCATTTTCTTTAAGAAATTTTTGTGCAATTATTGAAAATAATTTAAATAATTAAATTTAAAAAGTCATTTGCATAACAGTGAGATTATTTAAACAATTATTTCATTAATTTAAAATAAAAATATATACAAGTTAATGCTTATTTATTTTCAGAAACTAAAGTGAAATAGTCCTATCCATTCCACCCTGAATTTAAATGTCTTTAAAATTGGTGTAATGCATATTACTATGTTTTTAGTTTTCTTTATTTAGGGAAGAAAAGTAGTTTCATAATAGGATGTCATGAAAATTTTGCCATATATATGTGCACTAGGGTCTGGCACCCAAATAACCAGTGTATGAGCCATGCATTAATCAAATTTCTTCAAAAATTCATTGGGGAGGTAGACACTAATGACAGCACTTGTGCTTGGAAATACATATTCCAGAGCTTTCAAATAGGTTATCATGTATATATTACATTACTAGTTGTCAAAGAGAGCATAGTAGGATAAGGGTGATGGAGACCAGATGTATAACCTCCAAGAGTAGAGATCAAAGCCAAATAATTGACTTCTCTTAATAATGTCTAAAATTTTCATAATAAAATTTTACTTAAAAAATAAATGCATGACAATTAAATACATACATTATTGCAAATTGAAGTTCATTAACTTCTGTTAAATTAATTTTACAATCAGAAAGTAGCAAGGTATAAAATTAACACACACACACTATAGCAGTCTTCGTATATACCATTTACAAACATACTAATAAACAAATTTTGGATAAATAAAATTCCATTCACAATAGCCTCAAAAACACCGTGCAATCAATCTAACGAAATGAATGAATGACTTCTACAATGAAAACATTTAGACACTGAAGAAATAATTCAAGAAGATAGAAGAAAAAGGAAAGACTATCTATACCCATGCAATGACTCAACTAATTCTGTGAAAATGGCCCTCCCGTGAAAAGCAACCCACAGATTCAATGCAATCCCTGTCAAGATTCCAATGTAATTTTAAAACATCTTAAAATTCATATGGAGGTGTGGAAGGCATAACGGGAAGACTAGAGGAACGAGGAATGTTAAACACACAGGGCTTTTCTTCAAAGGGAGAAATGTATAACCCATTTTCTGCCCCAATGGCTGGAGCAGACTTGGTGAATAGCTTGGTGACCTTCACACTATGTGAAGTGGCTGAGACCACACCAGATCCTCCCACAGACTCTTGTCATGAAATTGTTTTTGCCAGTCAATCTATAGAACCTATCATTTTGGAAATGGTCAGATGCACTTTACAAAGTTTCTACATAGTCATGTCTTTATTCATGCTTTTCTTGTGCTCTATTGTGCATAAGAGAGTGAGTTAATTATCACCAGGAAAGTTTTCACCAAATTGTGGTGTCCTTAACTATGCCTCAAACAAATTACTTGGTGTCAGATTCTTGAAGTTTAAAGCAGCACCAGCTGCTGAGTTGTATTGAATTGAACTCTCTTCTTGCTTCCTGTGGATCATTACTCTGCTGGCTGTGGTGGACACAGAAATCACCATAGGGAATCACAAAAGACCCTCAATAGACAAAGCAAGTCTTT